AGGGTGGTGGGGACAGCGAGGGTGGTGGGGCTTCCCCTTCCAGCACCTCTGGTTTGCAGAGAGGACAACGCCTGATCTTGAGTTGGTCTGAGCACCGGCTTTTGGTTGGCCGTGAAGAAGTAACTGGACGCTGCCATAATCCGTACAGTGATGTGCGCTGCCTGGCGACTGGCGGCCCGTAATTACTGTTCAGGGTCGCCATGTGAGCAGGATGTTCTTGACAAACCCTGCGCTGGAAATGTTATTGTGCAGCATTTAATTATTAACAGCTCCTCTAATAAATGCTCCCTCCGAGCTGATGGGTTTTGAAGGCTCCACGCAGCCAGGGGAATCGCCAGGGGATGCCTGCTCGCAGCCATGTCCAACGCAGGTGTGAACCCGCGCATCTGACAGAGCGTCGGTCCGAAATAACGTGCCCAAGGCAGTGCGGGGCCATGCGATACCCTGGCTCCAGAGCCAAGGCGCAAGGCCAAGGTCTCAGTAGCTTTAGCACTTGCAGTTTGCCAGAGGAAGTTTTGATTGCAGCCAGCCACAGCAGCTCGGTGTATGCTCAGCGTCGAAAGCCCACGGAGGAGAGGGGGGAAGAGCCCTGGAGCAGGGACACGGCTGTTACCTGCTTTGTCTCAGCCTGGGGTGAGCCGTGCCTAGCGTGGAATATTGGATCAAAATGCTTGGAGAGAAGAAAACTGATGCAATCTCTTCCCCTTGGGTCCAAGCGCTCCTGGCAGAAACGTGGGAATGATCACAAAGAAACTCAGTGCTTTGATTTCTGCCCGCGGTAATTCGGGGGTGGAGGGGAGCTGGCACCCCGGCTGGGAGTGCAGGGCTGGAGAGGCGCGTGCCACACGCAGCGCAGCCCCTCTTCACGCAGTATTAACAGCTCCGCTTCCATTATCATCTCGCAGAAAGCAGCCTTATCTGCCGAGCCTCCATTAGGGAGAGGCTCCTGGCTGCCCTTCGCCGGGATAATTTGCTCAGATAGCTCTAATCTAATCCTACAACACAGCTGCATAACCAGAAGCCCTTTTACCTTCAGGGCTCCTTGCTGTTTGGCACGGGATACAAGATACTTTGCGTGAGTTATCATTCAGATTTGCTGCCTGAGAAAAGACAGCGGAGGGGCAGAAACAGAGCTCGGCCAGCTCCTGCCAGCAGCAATTGTGGCTGCCAGGGGTGCATGGGGGGGCTGGGCAGACAGGCTG